CATACATGACTGTGCTCAACACACATAGCCATGTACACACAAACACATAGAGCCATGTTTATACATGTGTGACCATGATGACACACACAGAAAAATGTTCACATGCATGACAATGCTCAAACACACACAGAGCCATGTTTGCACACACACACAAGTGGTCATGTTCACACACACACACACAGAGCCATGTTCACACACATGGCAGTGCTCAAACACACACAGAGCCATGTTTGCACACACAAAGTGGTCATGTTCACACACACACACAGAGCCATGTTCACACACACGCCTGGCTGTGCTCTCACACACACACACTCTCACACACACACACACACACACACACACACACACACACACGTCCCTATCCGCACACACGGGTGCCGTGTCCCCGCCGTGCCCGGGCCGGGGCCGGTGCCGGTGCCGGGGCCGGTGCCGGTGCCGGTGCCGGTGCCGGTGCCCGCTGCGGCAGGCCCACGTGCCGGCCAGCACCCGCCCGCACATGGCTCTGCAGCAGGGAGGCTGCTGGGGCTAAAAATGGAGCAGGGCGCACATGCCAGCGCCACGTGACGCGCATGGAGAGGGCTCCCCGCGAGAGGAGGAGGAGGAGGAGGAGGAAGAGGAGGAGGAGGAGGGAGCCCGCTCACATGGGCTGGCACTGATGCCAACCCGGCCGCTGGCCGCGGCGCCGTGGCCTCTCTGTGACCTGTGGGTTTGGAGGGGGGGGCTAATGGGGTGGCCCCCTCCCCACTTCCTCCCAGGTTTGACTTTTGGGAAGGTCAAACGTGGGGTGACGGCGGAACGGGAAAGGGGAGGAGGGATCGCAGGTGGTGGGTCTGAGGTGGGGGATGTGGAGGCTGAAGGAGTTCCCGGTGCTGTCCCGCCCCCTACCCCCCTTTGCCCCCCCCGCCGTGGGGTCCCAAGGCTGCAGAGGGAACACAAACATCAGCACAAACATCAGTGAGATCTTGGGGGTTGGGGCAGGTGAGAGGGATCCCCGCCTGCCATGGCTACTCCCCCTGGGGGTGCTCCTCAGACCCCCCCGCATGATGAACGCACTGGGGTCCCCCCTCCCCCAGGCGTCCTGCCCCCCTTTTGGACCCCCATTTCACAGGATCACCCCAACTTCTGGGCCCCCGAACCCGCCTGGGGTCCTGACACTCCCAAACTCTATCCCAATGCACCTTTCCTGTGGCCCTGCACCCTTAAATCCTCATGGGGTCCCTACACCCCCTGATCCTGCATTCCTTTGGGGTCCCCGCAACCTCCCGGGGTGCATTCATCTCTAAATCCCGCACGTCCACCGATCTGTGCGCTCCTGCTCCCCCCAATCCTGCACTCCTGCACCCTCCTGGGGGGTCCCTGTATCCCCAAACCCTGCACCCCAAAACCCTGCACTTCCTGGGGTCTCTCTGCACCCCAACACCGCTCTGCCCCATTCCGCAGTGCCAGGACACCGCGGGGTGTCCCCGCCTGTCTTGGGGTGCCCCCACCTGCCATGGGGTGCCCCGCCCGGGGCCAGGAATGCCTTGTTTACCCGATTTTTCCCGTTCCCGGGGAGGGAGGACAAATCTGGCAGCGGGAACTGCTGCCCCAGCCAAGAGCCGGGGGCCGAGCCAGGGCTGCTCCCTGCAGGAAAACACCCCAAAACCACCCCAAAACCGACCCTCCAAGCACTCTCCTGGCCCCCACAGCAGCACTGGGGGTCCTGCCCCACCCTTCCCCCCAGTGGGGACACATGAAAGGGGGGTCGGGGGTGCAGGACCCCCAAATTGGGTGGCACCCAGCACCTCTGGTTGCCCCCCAAAGCGCAGTTACGGGAGGGGAAACTGAGGCTCGATGTGCGTAGGGTGACACGGGGACACAGCTGGACCCGGTGTCCCCAAACCCACAGGGCGGCTGCAGCCCCACGGTGGCTCTGGGGGTGCTCAAGTGGGGCTGGGGGTGCAGGGCTGGGGGTCCTGTCCCGTGTCAGCCCCCGGTGTCCAGCGTGGGGGCCGAGGGGGTGATAAGCAAGAACGAACACTCGGTGTCCCGGCGGAGACACCCCCCCCTTTTCCTGGAAAAGGTTCAACAAGGTAAACAAGGCTCCAGCCCCGAGTAAAAATAAACCCTCGGCACGCAGGCGCCGGCCGGGAAGCGGGGCGAGCGTCACGCGGCACGGCCACGGCACCGACACCGGGCACCGGCACCGGGCACCGGGCACCGGCACCGGGCACCGGCCCCACCGCCCCTCCGCTGCCGCCTTCCCCCGGGAGCAGTGGCAGAGGAGGGAAATGCGGGCTGTGGAAGTGGGGGGGTGCAGGGGGTGCACCTGGGGGTACACGGCACGGGAAGGGCAGGGGCACAGCCGGTGGCACGGACGGGGTGCGGGGTGTGTGCCCCCCCCGACACTCCGGGCACCCCACGGCGGGTGGGGGTACCCCGCGGGGTCCTGGCACGACCCCGGGAAGTGCAGGATTTGGGGGTCCAGGATCCAGGGGGACAGGATCTGGGCTTGCAGGGCCCCCAGGAAAGTGCAGGGATGCAGGGTTTGGGGGTGCAGGGTTTGGGGGTGCAGGATGCAGGGATGCAGGGTTTGGGGGTGCAGGATGCAGCGATGCAGAGTTTGGGGGTGCAGGACGCAGGGATGCAGAGTTTGGGAGTTCAGGATGCAGGAATGCAGAGTTTGGGGGTGCAGGATGCAGGGATGCAGGGTTTGGGGGTGCAGGATGCAGCGATGCAGAGTTTGGGGGTGCAGGACGCAGGGATGCAGAGTTTGGGAGTGCAGGATGCAGGAATGCAGAGTTTGGGGGTGCAGGATGCAGGGATGCAGGGTTTGGGAGTGCAGGATGCAGGGATGCAGGGTTTGGGGGTGCAGGATGCAGGGATGCAGGGTTTGGGCTCGCAGGGGTGCACAGATCCGTGCAAGTGCAGGATTTAGGGGTGAATCTGGCATCTGGCGACCTTGAGGGGCGTTCAGGTGCCCCCTCCGTGCCCTGGACTGGTTGGCACGGGCTCTGCCATAACGGGGTGCACAGGGAGCCGCGGGGAGCCCCCCCAGGCATAGACCCAGCCTCTGGGGGCGTTCCCGGCTCACGTCAGCGGCAGAACCCCCCTGTCCCGATGGCTTTGGTGGCCCCTCTCCCTCGCTCTGCTCCCCATGGGTGGTCCCAGAGTCGGGATATCCCGGAAATTTCCCAGCTGTGCCCAGCCCGGGGTCCCTGCTCCCAGCACCTCCACCAGGACCCCCCGTGCCGGGTTCCCAGCCTCACGGCGGGACCCCACAGAGAGACCCCAAGAGATTTGTCCCGTCCCTCGCAGCCCCACTCCCGTCCCGGGGATTCCTGGGGATCGGGGATTCAGGCGAGCATCGCAGGCGCCGTGCGCCGCAGCGCCGTGCGCGGGGATGTTTTCCCAATGCAGACGCGCGGCTGAGTCACGGATAATCACCGGGAACGTGCCGGGAGGGGAACGAGGAGCTGCGGGGGCCGGGGGCACCTGCACGGTCCCGGCACGCGGGTCCCTGCACCCCAGGACCCGGGCGTCCCCCCCGGGTCCCCCGTGGCCGTGCCAGCCTGGCCCCACACATCCTTCCGGGAGCTGCCGCGGTTCTCCCGGCCGGAGGTGCCGCGGCACCGCGCACCCGCCCCGTGACTCAGGGCAAGGGCACGTCCTGTGGGGTGTCGGGGTGTTCCCACTGCCCCCGTGCCTTGGGGAGCCCCAAAATCCCCGACCACCCCCAGCAAGCCCCGGACACCGCCAGCTGGGGGGTTCCAGGAGGTCTTTGGGGTGCAGAGCTCTGGTGCCCCTCCTGGGTACTTCGCAGGGACACCGGAGGCCTCCCCTCCTGCGGGATGAGCTCGGAGGATTTCCCGGCGCTGGCACATCCGTGCTCGGCTCCTTCTCCTCCTGGCTGGGTGCCAGGGCAGCGCTCGGCACATGGCACCCCCAAAACCTTCCTGCAGGAGCACCCACGGAGCCCCCACGGTGCCACCGGGGCTGGGCTGGCCCCGGCCGGCTCTGCGACCCAGATCTGCCACCAAGCCTGCCCTGGCACGGCGTTGCCGCAGCCCCCGCGGCAGCCAGGAGCGGGGCCAGGCTGGGATGTGGATGCCAGGCACGTGCCACAGCGGGCACCCGCCGTGGGCAGCGTGGGGACAGCAGGGGACCATCGGCAGGGGGACAGCCGTGCCGGGGGCTGTAACCATGCACAGGCACCCTGCGATGCTGGAACAGGTGGGCACAGGAGACGGTGCCATGTGGGGTGACAGGGATAGCTGAGTGTCCCCAGTGCAGGGGGACAGTGCCACGCGGGGTTACTGGGGTACCTGGGTGTCCCTAGGACAATGGGCTGCGCTTTGAGGGGTGACAGAGGTACCTGGGTGTCCCCAGTGTTGTGCGGAGTGGCATCGGTGCCCAGGTATCCCCGGGGGAAGGTGCCACGCAGAGTGCCAGTGCTGTGCCTGGATGTCCCCGCTGCAGGGGACAGCCAGTGCCGCGCTCAGGTGTTGCCAGGGCAGGTGACAGCGCTGTGCAAGGTGACAGGGCTGCCGCTGCCGTGACTGGGGGGATGGTGCCGTGCCAGGTGACAGATGTGTCAAGTACTGCACCCAAGCGTCCGCAGTGCAGGGGACACCGCTGCGCCCGGGGGTCCCCAGCGCGGGGACCGTGCTGTGCTGCCCGACGGGGCACCCCGTGTCCCCCGGTGCGGCTACCGGTGCCGGTCCCGCTCCCCGCGGGGTCCGTCAGGCGGCCCCGGTGCGGGGGTCCCCCCCGAGCCCGGGCTCCCCAGCGGCGGCGCGGGGCCGGGGCCGCCGGCGGAAAGTGTGTCACTGGGGCACGAGGCTGTCCCCGGGAATCACATGGGGGAGGCGGCGGCGCCGCGTGCGGCCCAGTGCGCAGCCGCGGCCGGTGCGGGGGGCGGCGGGGCGGGCGGCGGGCGCACAACAGCCCGCACCGGGCGGCGGCGCGGCACGGCTCGGCGCGGCTCCGCTCCGGGAGGCTCACGGGGCCGGGACAGGATGGCGGCCCCCGAGGCCGGCAGCACAGGTCAGTGCCCCGCCGGAGCCCCCCACCCCCGGGACCACCGTGCGGGCACCGGCAGCGGCAGCGGTCCCCGGCACCGGAGCGGATCGGGGGTCAGCGCCCCGGGACCGCGGAGAGGGGCTGCGCGCTTGAGACGCGAATTGGAGGGGTCCGGACACCGGGACCGAGGGGTCCCGCACGCCCGACCGGGCAGGATGCGCACTGGGACCGCGTCCCGGAACGGGGCTCCGTCCTACCGGGACCGGGGGGTCCTGCAGAGCGGGGTAAGGCTCGGACAGCGGGGCCGGGGTGTCCCCTGGAGGAGGGTAGGGAGGGCTGCGCGCCGGTACCGGGCGTCTTGCACGCCGGGGCGACGTGAACACCGGCACCGGGGTGCTCCGGTGATCGGGGCAGGAGGGATGGAGACCGGACTGGGGTGTCCCGAACGCCGGAGCGTGCGGGACGCGGGGGTAGGAAGGCTGAGAACGGGGATCTGTGTTCCGGGAGGTCCCGGACAGCGGGATCGGAGGGGAGCGCGGCGGGACCCGGGTGTCCCGGAGACCGGGACCGAGGATTCCCGAACGCCGGAGAGTGCGGGACGCGGGGGTAGGAAGGGTGAGAGCAGGGATTGTTGTCTCCTGGGCAGCGGAACCGGAGGGGAGTGAAGTGGGTCCGGGTGTTGTCTCCTGGGGCAGCGGGACTGGGCTGTCCCAGGAACCGGGAGCGCACTGGGATCGGTGTGTACCGGGCGGCGGGAGCGATCAGGGTGACCGGAGGAGACCGCGGCGGGGTGTTCCTATCAGCGGCACCGGGGCCACGGGACCGGACAGCCCGTGGACGGCCGAGGCGGTGCCGCGCGTGTCGGGGCTCCCTGCGCACCGGGAGGGACGGAGGGGGGGGGACCGGAGGCGGTGCCCCCCCCTTCCCCCGTGTCCCCCCCCGCACGTGTCCCCCTCCCCGCCGCTGCCACGTGCGGAGTTTGTTTTCCCCTCAGCCCCGCCCCGCCCCCTGCCATTGGTCGGCACATGACATCAGCGATGACGTCACGCGCGGAACTGGGGACGCCGCCGTTCATTGGGGGGGGCGGCCCTGTCTCCGGGGCAACGAGAAGGGGCGGGGCGGAATTTGGCCAATGAGAGGCGGGTGGGCGTGGTAAAGCGTGAAGGGGCGGGGTTTAGCGGGGCCACGTGCGGCTGGAGCACGTGGGGCGGCGGCGTGAGGCCGCCTGAGCTTGGGGGGGGCTGCGGGGAGGCTGTTTGGGGGGGGTTCCCTCTGTTTTGGGGTCAACAGAGTTTCCCTCTCTCTGGGGCAAGCCTTTCTGGGGAATCCCCGCACCCCAAATCCTAAAATGAGTGTCCCGAAGCTTTGGGGTGCGGGGATCCCCCCAATTATTTTGGTGCCTTAGCAGCGGGGTGTCCCCAGGATCAGCTGCCCCGGAGGTGGGACCCACTGTCCCCAATTCGGTGACCCCCTTTGGAGGTGGTTCAGTGAGGGGGGATGGTGACAAGCTGGCTCTGGCGCGTGGCATCTGTGCCAGCGGCACCGTGTGCGGCGGGAGACACATGGCCCTGGTGATCCCGTGTGTCCCCGACATCACCATCCACGTGTCCCAGCCCGGAGTCGTGTCCCGGTGCTGCTGTCCCTGCCCCGTGAGTGGGGTGACAACGACTGTGCCTTCAGCCAGGGGCCACGCGTATGTCCCCCAACCATGCTCTCCCCATTTTCGGGGGTCCTCACACAGCTCCTCAGTCCTGCAGTGGGGACTTACCCCCCTCAGTTTGGGGGCGCTGCGCTGGGAGCATCCCGGTGCCATGGGGGGGGCCGCACTGGGGGCACCCCAGTGCCGTGGGGGCTCCGTCCCGGGGGGCTGCGCCGTGGCACCGTCCCGGGAGCTGTGGGGCGGGAGCTGCAGGCACCGAGCCAGGAACGGCAGCAGTAACTCTGTGACCTCCTGATTTCACCTCTGCAGACGGTTCCCAGCCCACATTCCTCCTGCAGGCAATTCCGGGGTGCCCTGCCCGTGTCCCCAGCCGGCACGTACCCGGATAAACCCGGCTGTCCCCGTCCCACGTGGGGCCGTGGCCCGTGGCCGCCGCTGGGTGCGGTGCCTGACTCAGGGTGGGCGGCACACGTGCGGCGCAGCGGGATATCCACGGATCCGGGATGCATCCGGGGCGCTTCCCTGGAGACCCCACCCCGCGTGGGGCTGCGATTCCCCTCCGCGGGGCTTCCCCCCCACCCCCGCGGTGCCTGGTGGAGCTCAGTGCATAAGTGGCCCACCGGGATGCCCGTGGATCTGGGATGCTTCCCTGTGGATCCCACCCCACCCGGGGCTGCAATCGCCCTCCGAGGGGTTTCCCCCTCCTCAGCTGGCAGAGGCTGAGCCTGGCACAGCTCAGTGCACGTGTGGCTGCGCGGGATGCCCACGGATCCTGATTGCCGATGGATTCGGGGTGCTTCCCTGGGCATCCCACCCACCTCCGTGAGTCGGGGGAGGCTGAGCCCGGCCCAGCTCGGTGCATGAGTGGCTCCTTCTCTCTGCAGGTGGGGTGATCAGCTACGTGGGCTCCAGCGGCGCCTCTCCCACCCGCACCAGCCCCGTGTCCCTCTGCAGCGACAGCTCCAACGGGAGCTCCCAGTCGGGCTCGCAGCCCTTCCCCACCTACTTCCCACCGTCGCCCACCGGCTCCCTCCAGGATTCCCGCGCCTATGGCGGAGCCACGCTGGCCCCCCATGAAGACGGCTCCCCTTCCTCCTCCTCGTCATCCTCTTCCTCCTCCTCCTCTTCCTCGTTCAGTTCCTCGGTGAATTTCCCCGGGGTGCAGCCGGTCCCCGCGGACGAGCGGCGCCGCAGCTCGCCGAGCAAAGCCGGCAGCACCGTCACCAGTGAGTGGGGCTCCCGGGGGAGGGTGGCGGGGGGGTCTCCTCATCCCTGGACCCCGCTGACCCCCGTCGCCCCGCAGAGCTGAACGGGATGGTGCTGCTCTGCAAAGTCTGCGGGGACGTCGCCTCCGGCTTCCACTACGGCGTCCACGCCTGCGAGGGCTGCAAGGTACTGGGATGGGGCCGGGGATGGGGCACGGAGCCCCTGTCCCACTGCGGGGACCCCCAGTGATTCCCCCCGCTCGCCCCGCAGGGCTTCTTCCGCCGCAGCATCCAGCAGAACATCCAGTACAAGAAGTGCCTCAAGAACGAGAATTGCTCTATCGTCCGCATCAACCGCAACCGCTGCCAGCAATGCCGCTTCAAGAAGTGCCTGCTGGTCGGCATGTCCCGTGATGGTGAGCTCGGAGCGACCCTCGTGACGTCCCGAGCCGAGGATTCCCTCCGGGGGTGGGATTCTCCGTGCCCAGCGAGCTGGTCCCTTCCCGGGATGTCTCCAGGGCTGTACCTCCCCTCTGGAGCCGCCCCCCCCCGCCTATGCTGGGTGCTGTGCCCGTCCCACGGGATGTGTTCCCCTTTCCTGGAACCCCCCCATATGTGGGGCTGCTTGTCCCTTCCAAGGCTGAGTGCCCCGTGCCCAGAGCTGCATGTCCCCCCCATGGCCAGGGCTGTGCATCCCCTCCCACACTGGGTCCCCCAACATCGAGGCTGTATGTCCCTCCCTTGGATGCTTCCCCCACTACTCAGATCTCTACATCCCTCCCGGGATGGGTCCCTCTATGTTCAGGGCTCAGTGTCCCCTCCAGGACCAGGTATTCCAATTTTAAAAGCTCCGTGTCCCCTCCCGGGATGGGTCCCCCTATGTTGGGTCCCCTCCAGGACCGGGTCTTCCCATTTTTAAGGCTCCGTGTCCCCTCCCGGGATGGGCTGCGTGTCCCCTCCAAGCCCGGGGCGGGGATGCAGCCTTGCTCCCATCAGCCCCTCATGGTGCAGGTCTGGGGGGGCAGGGGGGTGTCCCCGCCAGCCGCTGACGTCCCCCTAACCCCGGTGTCCCCCCTCAGCCGTGCGCTTCGGGCGCATCCCCAAGCGGGAGAAGCAGCGGATGCTGGCGGAGATGCAGAGCGCCATGGGCGGCATGGCCAGCGCCCCACCGCCGATGCCGGGGCCCGGCGAGGGTCCCGCCGCGGGCGGGGGGCACGCAGCGCCCCCCGGCCCCCCGCCGCTCGCCCCCCCCGCCTGCTTCTCCCAGTTCCCCCAGCAGCTGACGCCGCCCCGCTCGCCCAGCCCCGGCGGGGCCACCGAGGATGTCATCGCGCAGGTGGCCAAGGCGCACAAGGAGATCTTCATCTACGCGCACGACAAGCTGGGACCCCCTCCCGCCTGCGACAGCGGCCTCCTGCGCTGGGACGCGCCCCCCGCCTGGGCCCCCGGCCCCCCCGAGCCCCGGCTGTGCCCCGCCGCCTACCCCGAGCCCCCGGCCCCGCGGGGGTGCCCCTGGCCCCGCGGCCCCAAGGACGTCCTGCCGGTGAGCGCTCCCGCTCCCCACACCCCCCCAGGCTATTTTTAGCCGCTAATCACATTAACCCCCTCGTCCGTGCCCCACTCCCCCGTGGGGAGAGCCCGGGGGCGCCCCCGGTGCCCGCTGACCGCCGCTCCCCCGCAGGCGTGCCCCATGAACAGCCACGTGCCCGGGCGCAGCGGGCGCTCCGTGCAGGAGATCTGGGAGGATTTCTCCCTCAGCTTCACCCCCGCCGTCCGCGAGGTCGTGGAGTTCGCCAAGCACATTCCCGGCTTCCAGGCGCTCTCCCAGCACGACCAGGTCACCTTGCTCAAGGCTGGCACCTTTGAGGTACGTCCTGGAACGGTGAGGAGTTGATGGTGCCCCACAGACTGACAGGGTGCCCCATGGACTGGCACAGAGCCCCAAAGCACGGAACAGTGGGCCAGAACACAGCAGGAGCCCCGTGGCATTGCAGTGCCCCACATTTGAGAGCCACGGCGCCCATGGCATTGCCTGGTGCCTCAGAGCACTGCAGTGCCCCACATTTGGGATCTGTGGCACAGAGCACGGTGTCCCTGTCATGGCACAGTGCCCTGAGGGCTGGCATGGAGCCCTGCAGCACTGCAGTGCTTCACAATCAGGAGCTGTGGCATGCAGCACAGTGCTCCTGGCATTACACGGTGCCCCATGGCACTGCAGTGCCACTCTTTTGGGAGCTGTGGCATGGAGCACGATGCCCCAAGCATGGCATGGTACCCCATAATTGGGGACCACGGGCTAACACGAACCCCCATGCCCCATTGTAATGCCCCATTGTAGTGCCCCATTGTAGTGCCCCACATTTGGGAGCTGTGGCATGTAACACAGTGCCCATGGCATGGTACCCCACATTTGGTAGTCACAATATGGATCAGAGCCCATGGCATGGCACAGTGCCCCTGGCATTGCCTGGTGCCCCGTGGCACAGCAGTGCCCCACATTTGGGAGCCGTGGCATGAAACACAGTGCCCCTGGCATCACACGGTGCCCATGGCATGGTACCCCACATTTGGTGGTCACAATATGGATCACAGAGCCCATGGCACGGCACAGTGCCCCTGGCATTGCCTGGTGCCCCGTGGCATGGCAGTGCCCCACATCTGGGAGCTGTAACACGGAGACCGATGTCCCTGGCATGAAGCACGGTGCCCGTGGCTCTGCCTGGTGCCCTGTCCCACATCCTGCCCCCTGCCCACAGGTGCTGATGGTTCGTTTTGCGTCGCTCTTCGACGTGAAGGAGCAGACGGTGACGTTCATGAGCCGCACGCGGTACGGGCTGGAGGAGCTGTGGGCCATGGGCATGGGAGACCTGCTGGGGGCCATGTTCGACTTCAGCGAGAAGCTCAGCGCCCTCGAGCTCAGTGACGAGGAGCTGGGGCTCTTCACTGCCGTTGTCCTGGTCTCAGCAGGTGGGCACGGGAGGATTTGGGGACATTGAGGAGATTGGGGCTGGGATCAGAGGAGTTTGGTAAAGAATTGAGGGGTTTGGAAAAGAATCGAAGGGTTTGGGGCTGGGATCAGAGGAGTTTGGAAAAGAATCGAGGGGTTTGGGGCTGGGATCAGGGGTTAGTGGGGTGTCCGGGGCATTCAGGGATGGGATTTGGGTGGCACTGAGGTGATACAGGGGGAATATCAGGGGGTTCAGTGCTGAGATGGGGGTGATGCTGGGGTGTGATCAGGAGGTTTTGGGCGTGGAACTGAGGTGTCCCCTCCCCTGCCTCGTCAGACCGCTCGGGCATGGAGGACACGGCATCGGTGGAGCAGCTGCAGGAGACGCTGCTGCGGGCCCTGCGCGCCCTCGTGCTGAAGACGCGCCCGGCCGAGACCTCGCGTTTCACCAAACTGCTGCTGAAGCTGCCGGACCTGCGCACCCTCAACAACCTCCACTCCGAGAAGCTGCTCTCCTTCCGCATCGACGCCCAGTAGTGCCCCCCCGGATCCCCCTCCCGCGCACCCCTGTACATACACCACAGCGGGGGGACGGACACACAGACTTCCCCCCCTCCCCCGGGGCAGCACCGACCCCGTGGCGCCCGTCGGACTCGCAGGGATTCACCCCGAGGTGGGCGCCAGGATGCTGGGACCCCCCTCCCACCCCAACCCCAAATCGGGCACCACCCCCACGGCACCGCTGGCAGCGCCGGGGGGGTCCCCTCGCCCCGACACCCCCGTTCTGGCGGCCGGGGGTGGGATGCAGAGCCGTGCTGGGGGGGTGGGTGGGTCTAGAGGAGGGGAAGGGGGGGTGGTCGGGGAGGGGGGGGGTTTGGTTGGTTGGTTTTTTTTTCATCATATATTTATTACATAAATATATAGTAAAATAGACCAGCAACAATTACCATAAAAATATCTTTCTTTAAAATCCTGACCAAAACACAAAAGGGTTTAAAATCGCACGTCACAGACTGTGATTGTCACGGGGGCTCCACGGCCCCCCCGGCCCGCGCCCCTACATTCAGCGACGCCGGCCGCGCCCCCCCACCCCCCCCCCACCCCCCCAGCACCCTGCATAGTGGGGGACCCCGCGTGGGGCGCGCCGAGCCGAGCCGGGCCGTGCCGGGGCTGTGCTGGGCCAGGTGCTGGCCGGGCTCGACGCCCGCGGGCAGGGGCAGCTCTGGAGCCATGAGGTATGTGCTTGGGGGGGGGGGACACAGGGGGGCGCGGGGACGGGGGGGGGGGGGGGGGGACGCGGGGTGGCCCGGGGGAGGTGGCGCAGGGGGTGGGGGGCACCGCTGTGGCCCCCCGGGACCGACGCTGGATGCTGGACGTGCGATGGCGACGCGAGACGGAGACGCGGGGACGGCCCGGGGGGGGGCGTGGGGGGTGTACGGGGTGGGGGGCGTGCGGGTGGGCAGCGGGTAGGGGGGGGGTCGGGCTGAGCCCCCCCCCAGCCCGGGACAAGCTGCCCCAGGGCCCCGTGTGGCCGCTCGGGGGGGGTCACGGGGGCTGATTAAGACACGTCCCGTGTCGCGACGGGAGCGCGCGGTGTCGCACGGAGTGTGCGTGCGCGGGAACGCGCGGGCAGCGCGGGGACACGGCACCGGCACCGCAACGACATGGAACGGCACCGGAACGGCCACGGGCACCGGCACCGGAACGGCCACGGGCACCGGCACCGCGCCCTCATTGCACCAACAGGAGTTGCCATGGCACTGACATGGCACGACGCGCGTGGCCGTGGCACCGGCGTTGCGCCAGCGTGCCTCGCGCTGGCACCGACATGGCACAGCCGCGGCGCTGGCACGGCACCAGCACGCGTGGCCGTGGCAGCAACATGGCACTGCCACCGCCGGGCGTGGGGGGCATCACCCGGGTGCCGCGGCCCCGCCCGTGGCCCGAAGGCACGAGGTGGGACCGGTGCTGCCAGGGGTGGGGGGCGAACGCCCGAACCTGTGCCCCCCCCCAGTGCGGGCGTTAGTGTTCCGCTCCTATTGCACCGCCCGCAGCCGGTGCTGCCGGGACCCCCAAACCGGGACTCCCAAACCGGGACCCCCAAAGGGGGGATCCCAGCCGGGCCCCCCCGAGCCAGGCGCCTGGGTGGGGGTTTAAGACATTTTGCACCAAGGTCCAGTCCGGCGCTGGTATTTGGGGCTGGGGGCAGGCGCCCCCACCCAGGGCACCCCAGGGTGCCACAGCCCCGCTGTGCCCCCCAACCCAGCTGCAAGGGGTCTGGCAGGGCCCCCCCAACACCACTCCCATGGTTGGGGGGGAGTCTGGAGTGTGGGGAGAGCCCAGCCCGGCCCCCTGTGCCTATGGGGGGGGGGGAACGGGGACGTGTCTGGTGTTGGGATTTTTCTGCTTTTAAACGACCCGTAAAAAGATTTTTTTTTTAATTACAAAAATTATATATTTTATATATATTTATATATATATATATATATATATATATTAGCTTAGGTGGGCCCGGCCTGCCTTGCCGGCCCCCCCCCGGCCCGCACCCCCCCTCGGCCTCCGCCTGAGGTAAGAAAAAATTCACAAACCTAAATTTGGGAGGGGGGGGGGGTTTAAAAAGGTGATAAAACCATTCCCGGGTGCCCCCTCGCAGCTGTGCCCCCCCCCCACCCCTCAAGCCCCCTGTGGGATTCCCCCTGCCGGCCCCCACCTCAGCCCGGCCCCCCCCGGGAGCACTGGGGGGGCAGTTGGGGGGTGCAGCCCCCCCAAAGTGCTGCTGCCGGGGGGGGGCTGGGGCAGTAGTGCAGTGGGGGGGTCCCGGTGGGGCACCCAAAGCCCCCCCAGCTGGCGCCCCCGGGGCCTTTGCAACTCCTGACTGGACACGACAAAACCCACGAGGACAAGGGGAAAAACAACAAAAAAAAAAGGACAACGGAAAATTGGGGGGGTTTTGGGGGGAGGGGGGGGAGAGTGCCCCCCCCCCCCCCCCAGTGTCCTGCAGCGCCCACCATCCGCGGCGCTTGGCACAAAAATCGTCTCCTCTCAGCCCAAAAAAAGACAAGAGAACCCCCAAAACCCCAATTCTGGCCCCAAATTTGGGGATAAGGGGGGGGAGACACAGGGGGGGTCACCCCAGCCGGGGCAGACCCAGTGGGCTGGGGTGGGGGGTCCACCAGCCCTGCACCCCAATGGGCTGGGGTCCCCCTCGCCACTGCTGTGCCCCCCCTGTGCCCCCACCTTGCTATGGGGGGGTCCTGGCCCTCACCCCACTATGGGGGATGGGGGTCCCAGCCCCTGCCCTGCTATGGGGGAGGGTCCTGGCCCCCACCCCAGCCCCCCAAATTGCTGCCCGGCCAAAAGTGCATATGGCCACGGCCCCCCAGCCGGGGCAGCCTCTCCCTGTGCAGCCCAGAGCCCCTCCTCTCCTCCCTGCTCTTCCTCCTCCTCCTCCTCCTCCTCCTCCTCCTCCTCCTCCTTCCAAAGTGCAGTTAGTTTAATATTTTAGCCTCTCAGGGAGGGAAATAAATGCTTAAAAAATAATAATCTACGAAGAGAAGGACAATAAAGGGAACGCTCGACCGTCGGGGCCCTTCCCTGTGCAAACAAACAAAATTCGTCAAGTCCTGGGGCGAGGTGGGGGGGTGGGGGGTGGCTGTTGGGGGGCACAGCAGGACCCCCACCCTGGGCACAGCATCCCCTTGTCCTTACAGGGGGACGAGAAAGATTTGGGGCGGGGGGGGGGCCAGAGCGGGGTTTGGGGGGGCACAGGGTGGGGGTGGTGTCGTCCCTACACCTCCTGGTCCTCGAAGACCTCGAGGAAGAGGGGGGGGAAGAGCTCGGTGGGACACTCCACCTTCATGTGCAGGAAGCGGCTGGCGTGGCAGGCGCCGATCATCCGCAGATCCGTCACCTTCATCAGCAGCTTGGGCCAGAAGTGGGGAATGTTGTGTTTGCGGTAGTTGATGTAGTGCTCAAAGGCCAGCAGATAGGTCTCCTGGCACTTCTCGATCTTCTCCACGCAGATCAGCCCCGTCCGGTCTGCAGGAACCCAAGGAATTGTCAGGGGATGGTGGAATTACACAATGGTTTGGGTGGGGATGTTAAAGCTCATCCAGTCCCACCTCTGCATGGCAGGGACACCTTCACTGTCCACCTTCCACCCTGACCCAGAGTGCTCCAAGCCCGGCCTTGGACACTTCCCTTTGTCAGGTCCCCACCACCCTCACAGAGAGGAATTTTTTCCCAATACCCCACCACAATCTCCCCTTTTTAGTTTAAACCTCTCTCTCTCTGCTGTCCTGGCATTCTCTGCCCATGGAGGAGTCCCTCTCTCAGTCCAGCACTGCAGGGATTCTCCCTCCCACAGGGCTGAGTGTCCCAAACACCCCCTGGCTGTTGGGGTGCCCACCCCACAGACCCACCTCAGCCTGGCAGGGGTCCCTAGGGGACCAAGCCTGTGCTCCTGGGTGCCCTCTTCATGCTCCTGAAGCTCTGGGAATTGGGTTGCCCACACCAAATCCACCCAAAATCCAGGGGGGCATGATTTCCCACCCAATGCACCCTGAAGGTGTTGGGGGGCTCTGGCATCAGGGTGCCCATCCAACACCCGCCAGGACAGTGAGGACTTCGGCCACTGGGGTGCCCACCTAATGCACCCCCAAATGCTGGGGGCTCTGGCATTGGGGTGCCCATCCAACACACCCCCAGGACAGTGAGGACTTTGGGCATTGGGGTGCCCACCCAATGCACCTCCAAATGCTGGGGGTTGTGTGCAAAGGGATGCCAACACAACAATCCCCATGGACACTCTCTGGGCATGGGGGTGCCCACCCAATTCCCCCCAAACCTGCAGGGGATCTCTGGCATCAGGGTGCCCACCCAACCCCTCCCCAGGACAGCGAGACCTCTGAGCATTGAGATGCCCACCCAACAAACCCTCTGACCCCCAGGCCACCGGCGTGTCCATCACCCCATTACCTGAGGACATGAGCAGCACAGCCTGGAGCAGGGCCACCTCGGTGTCATCCAGGTTGAAGGCAGAGAGGGACTTGCCCAGGTCGAAGATGGCATCGGAGACGACGCCGAGGCCGCCGTTCTTGAGCTGCTCCCGTTTCACCGCCATCTCCCCGCTCAGCGTCAGCGTCTCGCTCTCGGGGTCGTAGCGCACGGCCGCCCGCAGCGACATGATCTCCATGCAGCACCCCTTCAGCAGGATGATCTGGTCCTCACAAGGCAGCTGGGGGCAGTTTTGGGGGGGGTTTGGTGTGATTTAGACACTGGGCTGAGCACACCCCACACCTCCCAACGTTCCCAGCCTGCTGTTACCTCTGAAAACATGGGCAGTTTTTTGGCAAAGTCGACCACGCGGGTGATGGCCGGGGTGATGATTTTTGTAAACTCGCTGAACGCCTCCAGGTCGACTTTGTCCCCGTCAGGCATGGAGGCCATAGGGGACTGGCCGATGTCCTCAGGCTGTAGGGGACACGGTGGGGTTGGGGGGTGTCATGTCACCATGTGTCCCCTGGGACCACCGTGGTGGCATTGGGGGGGTGTGGTGTGA